GCACAATTGGCCAAATTTTGATTAATCTGCGAAGCACTGTGGCTATCGCTGCTTGAACTTTGATGACGATACGGTCGCATATCCAAGGTGGAAAGACCAGACCCCGTAAGTTAACGCGATCGGTTGGCAGAAATTGGGACAGGACCAAGGGTGATATTGCGGATAACTTCAATCGAGACTCGCCAACAGCGATCTATCGGGCCGGTCCTGGGTAAAGGCAAGAAGGTATGGGCCTCCGGGTGATGCTCAGTAGATGACGGTGTCCTCGGCAGCTTCTTCGACGACATCCTCTCCATTCTCGTCGTCATCTTCCTTGATGGTTGTGTCAGCTACGGTCTCGTGAGTTGCACCGTGGCTATTCTGCATGTCCTCAGTGGCGCGCCCGACTTTTGCATTGGTATCAGGGATATCGGGCTGGTGGTCCTTCATGTCCAGGTCCTTGGGGGAGATGGCGCTACCATTAGTCTCGCCATTGGTGGTGGTTGTTTCTTGAGGTGCATCTGCATCATGGTTCTTACCGATTTCAGCACCCTCTGCATCACCCTTTGCTTCCGCGGAAGCACGCCGTCTCCGCAAATTATCCGGTTGTTGGCGAGCCTCGTACTCTTCTATCTCGCGTTTGACGGTTTCTTCGGCTCCGGCTATTTGGTCACGTATGCGGTCTTCTTCGTCGGGACTAGTTTCCCAGGGTTTGTAGTACTGTGAACACGGTCAGCTGTGAACCAGGGTGATTAGATGGAAGGTAACGTACGAGGTGTGGCTCTGACTTGGTCTGGAGGAAGTGCGCCATGGCCAGTAGATTTGCGTGACGTATCCGCATCTAAGAATTGTAAGCGCTTGGTCAGGGTATCAAATGTGAAGTGACAGAGCATACCTGATCTCTCTCGAGAAGCTTGTGCTCCTTCCATCGCTGCTCTTTGCGCCTGGCTGCACGCTCTGCCTTCCTCTGTTCGCTCTCTTGGTCGTCTTGTTTGCGCTGGGCTAGCTGTCGCTTCTCGATCTCGGCGCGACGTTTCTGTCCTGTAGTAGCAGAGTTCTGTGAGAGTGCACCCAAGGCGGCGCCGAATAATCTGCGCTCTCGTCCTCTCTCGCGTCGCACAGGGGCGGGCTTGTCGTCTTTTGTGTCTTTGGTGGTAGAATCACGTCTTTCTTGGGTTGCAGTGTCATTCTCGAGTCGCGGTCGCTTTGCGGCGTCTTCTGATAGTGATTCTTGTCGTCTCTTGTGGCCGTTTACCGGGGGTGAGGCTGGCAGTGATAGTTCATCCGGAAGGACTACAGCCGATGCAATGGGTCCGTCCATAACAATGTCGCGCGTCGTCTAGGGGGTTTCTGGACGTTTCTAATATGTGTTTAGCAGTATCAGAGAAGCACGCGTGGGTGTCATTGGTATAGGTGGCCCAGGGATCTCGCGATGGAAGCTTCGCGCACGGAGCATGGGTTCAGTTCACGCTAGCAGCGGACCACCGAAGCTGACTTTCACGACTGACTTTCTGTCACCGTCTACGCGCCACCACCATACCCACGCCTCCGTCACGACGAGAAACCTTTCCTACCAGACCCGAGATACTATAACACGTCCATATTTGTCACCACACCTATAACCTTCCGCCATGTCTCGCCATCATCCGTAAGTGCCCTCTCACTTCAAAGAGTCGCGCATACTAACACCTGTCGCAGCGATCTCGTCATGTGCCGCAAGCAGTCCGGCATCTCCATCGGCCGCCTCTGCGACAAGTGCGACGGCAAATGCCCCGTTTGCGACTCCTACGTGCGCCCGACCACCCTCGCCCGTATCTGCGACGAATGCTCCTTCGGCAACTACCAGAACAAATGCGTCGTATGCGGTGGCGAGGGTATCTCAGACGCCTTCTACTGCTTCGAGTGTACGCGCCTGGAGAAGGACCGGGATGGATGTCCGAAGATTATAAATCTGGGTAGTAGTAGAACGGATCTGTTCTACCAGAAGAAGAACTTCAGGAATCATTGAGGTGGCTTCAGTCGCTGCTCTGGGCGCATCACATGCGTTCGGAGAATGGCAGAATCTACAGGAACATCTGGATCTCGGTTACATGGGAGAGTGTACACGGAATAGCATGGGAAGAAGCATGGAGTTTGGGCGTCGCGGCAGCATCCTCAAGCGCCGCGATGTAGACAAAAATGGGTTACGGCGTTCAAAGATACCTCAACGATCTATCAATGGTACTTTTACCACTTCCTCTACCTAGTAGCGTTGCTGACAAGCCCGCAAGATTGATCTCTTCTCTGTTCTAGGGTATACCGGCCATGCGTGTTTGTTGATACAGCGGCTTTTGCAAGATACAACTTCCTATCCGCCTATACATTGCGTTCCTAATCCCTTATCCACGTCCATACTGTATGATCCAACCCAGGCTACCTCGGTGTCTCCACTATCCTCGCCGGCGCCTTCCCCTGTTCGGCATAGGTTCGAAAGAAAAAATCATCATGTCAAAAAGGACAAAAACATACAACGGCGCGTATTCCCCGGTGGTCACCCACCCGAGTACTAATGCGCCGGTACAATGCTTGTATATGGCTGAGCGGACGGGAAGCCTAATTCTCATTGTCCTATGGTCGTATGTGGAAGAATGGGCGATGAAATGGGTCATATACTCGATACAAACCTAAGATGAAACACCAACCACTCAAGCGCCTCTCGGAACAAAATGAACCCACCGTACTTCGCTCATGACGTATCCAGCTGAAGGAGTCTGAGTGAATGGAATCGGGTGCCCAAGGTCGAAACAGCGTCTGCCTCGCAAGGACGACAACACCGTTCCCAACCCACGCTTGTTACAATGTGATAGCTAACAGCTTCATTAATCGCTCTGCTATAGAAGCCACTACCATCACGATAACAGAGATTCTACACAGTCTGGTCTTCCCGCTCCCAGGCCGTTGTGTCACTCTTCTGCCTCGTTGACGGCTTTGGCGCATACTTAGGAAGGAGCGAACCCGTCACTGCCTTGACAACGAGTTTCGTTACGCGGAAGGGGCTGGCGCGAAGATGGGCCTTGAGAGACGTCACCACCCGCAAGGAAGGAAGGTACGACAACGGCAGCCCATCATCTTGGGACGAATTTGAACAGGTCTGCAGCCTACATCGACATAAAATCCCACAAAGTAGGGGACCTAACGTGAGTATAGGCTCCAGGCCTATTCAGACCCTTTGGTGTAAGGAGTGGCAGTGCAGCCAAGCTGGAGACATCCGAGGTCGATAGTTCATGCGAGACTACTTTGCTTTTCCGGAATAATTGAGCGCAGGGCTCTGCTTCGCTTCCGGTATCCTGGGTCCGGTGAGAGCGATGTCGAGAACCATCCCGCGGTCCAGAACGTCAGGCTTCATGGTGTTGAAGAATGAGGTCCGCTTAGGTTTGCTATTTCCTGCACTATACCGTCTGACCATATCACGCAGCGGAAAACGGTAGTGCATACACTAAGCTGTGCGGGGAAGCAACCAGGGGGATGTGTGGTGTAAATGTCTAAGAGGGGAAAGACAGGATAGGGAGTGGGCGAAGGTCTCGCTGTCCGAGGAAGACGGGCAAGGCATGGAAACGAGAAGGCTCGGTACGCTATCGACCCGACCCTTCTTTAGTCTCGCCACGCCTGTGGCTTTTGTTCTCACTGCAAAGCTACACAACTCACACATTTTACAGCCGCGAAGCGCTGAAAAGCGCCTGGGTACCTCGATACACGTCTACCGGGACCATCGGAACACCGCTAGCCGATACGCAGATACATTCATGCACAAGTTAACCTGTTCATCACAGTTGGAGACGAAATGTCCGTACCAATAAAAACAATCACGGAGCAGTGACCTACAGTTGTTGCCAAGAACTCCAGGTCTCGGCCACACCTACCCCGTGGACTTGTTATGATCCAAGAGAATGTGGAGCCCAAAAATCAGCATATCAAAACTTGGATATAGCCGAGCAGTCGTAGTCAGAGGGGTAGAGTTCGCTCTAGATGGGCGTCTATACTCCCGGACCTTGGTGAACGATGCTACTAATGGTGTCTTTGGCACTGTATCGTCAGTGGCTCAATTCACGCGTTTTAAGCGCGATGACACACGAGCCTAGAGCTAGATGCTGTTGATCCAACACTAAAACCCCCAGCCTCATGTATCTTGGTACCTTTCACTAAGTCCCTTTTGCTTTTGCCCGGAGCGTACGATCCCCAGTTGTTCCGCTAACCTGCATCCGTAGGCCAGGAAATTAACAGTAGCCATCCGAATTCGGCGTTGGATCAGTCTCAAGTGCCGGAGGATATTCAAAAACAGCAAGTCCACGTGATTGTAGCAACTATCACGTCCGAATTTGAATGTTGCTACAGGAGGTCTTGGTAGAGGTGGCTTCGAGTGACAGCGGATTTGCCGCTATGTTTGTGCTGATCGTCGACAGACCTGGATTAGTTCCTTCTCTCAAGCAGACTACTGTAGATAGTGACCTCTTTGAGAATCAGGTATCACGACTCCAGACCATCACCCTAAGGTTCGCTTCGAACTGTGGCGTACTCTCTTATCATTGAACACGCCATCATCATGCGATGGACGAAGTGACATCTTGGAACGAGGCTTGCGCTTGAGACTTACGATGACCTCAACCACCAGCAGTGCCAGGTTTCGTACGTTTTACCGAGGGGCTTCTTGCATCCAGACGAGCTGGAGTGAGTTCAGCTATGCTTGGTGTAGCCTGGGCAGACATGATCTCGATCGGGGGAAGCGACAAGTCGTGAGAGCAGAGGATAGAGGAAGCGCTTCACCTGAGCAGGCTGGAGTGTCTATATAATACGTTTTACCTTTCGCCCATAGCCATCATCATCATCAGAACAACTCACAACATCACAACTACTGAGCACCTTTCTTCTCATCATTCCATCATCTTTTACAACCCAAACCTCATCTTCATCCCAACACCAAGATGAAGCCTTCCACCATCCTCTCCGTCTTCACTGTGGTCGCCACTGTCTCAGCAGTGCCCACTATGGAACTTGTACCAAGAGCAGCTCCAACATGCCCTGCTGGGAGCTACAAGCAGATCTGCTTGCCCGCTGGATTGTTCAACATCATCAACACACTCCTCGGCAACATCCTCGGCACGGTTCAGATTTTGGGTACCCCTTGCGGTGGCACAATGAAGTGCTGCTCCACTACCTCTGGTATCGGCTCCAAGATCAAGGTCAGCGGACTCAAATGTGTCGCTCCTACTACACCTACTACTCCGACCATCCCACCCGTGGTCTCTCTTCCACCTGTCATCCCGCCCGTGGCTTCTGCCATCCCGCCGATTGTTTCTGGGGTGGTTTCCGCCATTCCACCTGTCGCCTCTGCCATCCCACCAGTCGTCTCCGGCGTGCTTTCTGCCGTCCCGCCTGTGGCTTCAGCGATTCCACCAGTCGTCTCCAACGTGGTTTCCATCGTCGCACCTGTAGTCACTGATGTGATCTCGGTCGTAGCGCCAGTGGTTTCCGGCGTTGTCTCTGTCGTAGCACCTGTGGTTACCGATGTGGCTTCCGTTGTAGCGCCTGTGGTTACCAACGTGGTTTCCATCGTAGCGCCAGTGGCAACACCCATCGTTGACCCAGTACTCTCCGTCGTAGTACCAGCGGCAACACCCATCCTCAACCCAGCACTCTCCATTGTTGCACCAGTCACGACACCCATCCTTACGCCCATCCTCCCGGGCATTGGACTCTAATTTCGGCATCGGAAGATATGAAAGTTCGTAAGGACAGATAGGAAACTGCAAGATATATTTGTACCGCTTTGGAGTTCTTACTACATTCATTTCACGACTATCATGGATTCGGTTCAGGCGGCTTGCTTTATACAGCCATGTCTACACTCCTTTTGTCTCACTCATGTACTTGGAATAGTGACATAGTATGAATAAAAAAGCGATTAGCGATCAAACAAAACCTTGGAACCTTGTGTTCCGGTGCGAAAAGAATCGAAGCTTCATTCGAAAGCACACGCAGCTGCAATCCATTGCCCAATCAACTCACTCAACCACCCTCCCAAATCCCTCCTTCTCCCTCATACCCCTGCCCTTCGCCTCGATCTTATCATTCTTGACCATACCACCCACCTTCTCCACCACCTTCCCCAAGAGAGAATCTGGTTCCGGTCCGCTCATCTCCCCCGTCTTATTCCCATAGCCCGCGCCGCCTGTCGACCCGCTGCCCATAGCTGTCCCGTGCGAGTACGGCGCTGTGTCGGAGTGGCTGCCGAAGCGAAATTCAGAGCCGTCGGTATCGGGAGTGGATGAGGAGCGTTTGTTTCCTGTTGAGAGGACGTGTTAGGGATGTGGGAGGGAGAGAAAGGGGAAATTACCAAATCCTGCGCCGCCTGTTATTCCTGAACCGTGTTTTTCGTGGGGGTTATGGTACGGGGTGTGAGAGTCTACGAGACCGAGACGCGTGGTGCTGTGTTGGTCTTGGAGGTCTTCTGCGGTGTAGTCTGGAGCTGTGCGGTTTCCATAGCCTGCCATGTTTGCTTGCGATTACGGGTAGGTTTGAGTATCTGCGTGTATGCTTGGGTTGTTGAGATTGGGGTACTCGAAGATGGGAAGTATGAGTGGTAGGTAGTAGGCTGTGTTTTATTACCACAGGTACGCGGACATCCATCGTTGACTATATATCGTTCATGCACCCTTCCTTTACTATCTGCCGTGTGCTGACCTTAGCATAATTGGCATGTGTTAAGAATTCAAAAAGCCTTATGAGGTCACCTTGCTGGGGGAGGCGTAGATCATGCGATCAGAAGCTCTATAAGAGGGTGGAAGACCCGGCCAAGGTGTGCTTGGTATTCCTTGTAGTACGCTAAGTTCCGCTTATGTGGGTCGGAGGAGATAGTGGCTAAACTGATCCTACGTGCAGCTGTCGATGCTATGCAAGTTTGCGATACCGGGATCGCTTTTGATAGATCCTTGGGTATTTTCGGATCGGACGAGGCGCCGGGTTCAACTTCACGATGGTTCCTTTTTTACGCCTTGAACGCGTCGTCGGGACTTGTAGGTCGGCACTCATTGGATCGATTCGTTGTAAAGATTGAGGCCAGAGATAAAGCTGACATCCAGAAATGGTGGTCGTCGCCGCTGATCCATGATAGCGATAAGAGTCCCGCTAGGTGCTGTTCCGTCACTGGCTACTCCGTGTCCGCCAAGATCTGGGGTATCCCACACTCCCTAAAGCCCACCTGAAAGATCCAGAACCTGTACGCCAAGGTGTTTAACGCCAGCAGTGCAATGCATGATAATCGAGAATCAGAAAGGACGAATAGCTGAAGGTAATGACCTCATCGGATATATTTGGACTGTCGCGTGGTGTTAGAAGGTTACTTGAGGCTCAATCAAGGGGCACATACCATAAATTTCTTGTGGAAGTCGGACCGCAGCATGTCGTTGATGAATTCCTTCTTCTTGTTCCTGTCTTCGGTACCGCGTGCTTGGTTCTTGAACACGACATCGTCGTCCCAACGTCGCTTCATGGTGAAGTCTTTTGCGTTGAGTAAGGGGTTACCTCGGGCGACATCGATTTCGCGTTGTTGTTCCTCTTCTGCGGCGCGTTCTGCCTCCTCTTTGGCTTTGGCTGCGGCGCGCTCCTTCTTAATCTTCTCCAGCTCGCGCATGAGAGCCGCGGTTTCATCTTCTTCGTCTTCGTCGCTGGGATATCGTTAGTCAATGAATTCGGTATCGAATGTACGTCAACTTACTCGTCGTCGCTGCTCTCGCTCTCACTACTGCTATCGTCGGCATCCACATCTCTGAACTTCTCCAAGACTTCTATGCGCCGCCGTTTTTGAGCTGCTTCATCCTCCTCCCCCTCTTCAGCTGCTGGCACAGCATCGATCTGACGTTTGTGCGCATTGCCAGACTCTGCTGCTGCCTCCGGCTCGACGTAGGTGCCGTTCTTCTTCGCGATGTGACGCGCCTCGGCCTCCAAAAGTTCGGCGCGAAGATCGCGCTGTATGTCGGCATCACCGCCCTGTCCGGGCTGTCTATGCTTGAGTGTTGTGTGCGCTGGGAGTAGCCGCTGGTGGTAGGCGGGTCCTCGCTGGGCTTCTTTACCGCGCGCGGGATCGAACGTCGGTCTGTGGGCGGTCGTCATTGTGTCGTTCTATTATTTTCCAACTTTGCGATGGGCCGGTACGGGTTTCGGAAGTCTTGCGCGTGGTTGACGTGGTGAGTAGGTGATGTGTAGAAGAATTGGTGCACAGAAGCTTGAACTCGTAAATCGCGCTAGAGGCCGGCGATTGCAATTCCCCGCCGCCGCATTTTCTATGGCTGTTACAACAACTACCATTTCACCAACAACAACCTCACGTATTCGTTGCAGGGGGTCAAGATGCCTCGAGAAGCTGAGATATCGCTCAATGAGCGCGAGTTTATCAAGCAAGCGCTGCAGGAACAAATCCGAATCGATCGACGCGCATTCGATGCCTTCCGCCCACTCGAGCTCACATTTGGAGAAGAGTATGGTGTCGCAGATGTACAATTAGGCAAGACAAGGTACATGATCTACTGGGAGGCCATATGCGCAAGCTAATACTTCTCAGGGTGATTGCGCGCATATCAGTAGATGTGACGACACCACTACCGGAGCGCAAGTTCGATGGCATTTTCCAAATAGTCACAGAATTCTCTCCAATGGCCTCTCCAGCTTTTGAAGTTGGTCGGTATGTTATTTTCATCCCATACTAGATATTAAGTGTATCTGACCGAGAAATCAGTCCCACAGACGCTGAAGTCATCCTCTCGCGCATCCTCGAGAAAGCCATCCGTCGCTCCAACGCTCTTGACACCGAATCGCTTTGCATCATCGCTGGCTTAAAGTGCTTCGCTCTCCGCGCCGACGTGCACATCATCGACCATGACGGCGGGCTGATCGATGCATCGTGCATAGCCGTCATGGCTGCGTTACAACACTTCCGAAGACCAGACGTACAAGTGGAAGGCGAGAAGGCGACCATTCTCAGTGTACGCGAGCGCGAACCAATATCGTTGTCGATTCTACACCAGCCGCTCTGTGTTACCTTTTCATACTTTGAGGGAGAGATATTTTTGGTGGACGCAAACTTGGCTGAAGAGCAAGTGAGGCAGGGAGAGGTCATCCTCACAATGAATAAGCACGGCGAACTGTGTCAGATTGCGAAGTACGGAGGAGCGACAATAAACCCGCTGGCTCTGCTGAATTGCACGAATGTTGCTTTGCAGAAAGTCAAGGAGATGAACGCATTTATTCAGAAGAGGCTTGATGAAGATGCCAAAGAGAGGGATGCTGGAGGACTGATCGCAGAGCTTAGCGCTCAGAATGCCAGATGAGACCTCGCACGAAGCAGAATCACCTTACCAAAGACGACAAGTCTGGCCAACAAATCAGTCTGCGACGCTTCCAAATACTCGCATATTGGGCGCCGCTCAAGTTCGTCCGAGCATTCCATCTAAAAGGAAAGTTTCTAGAACAGGACGCACCGCGAGCCCACTGATGATGTGGGTCGGTGGTCGGCGGCCCCTGGAAACACTACGGGAACACCGAAGACCAAATCGCGAGATGCGAATTTAGAAGTATCATGCGAATGTGGCGACGGATCGAGAGTCCATATTAGGATAATGATCTATATACCGCTGTGGAATCCAGTTCATCATGAACTCTACTTATTGAATTGCATCTCAACCTGCAACCGCGAACTATGCTGCCATCTTCAAACCCAAAGTTCTAGATTTTGGAGTTCACAAAGCGGTGACGTAGCTGACAAAGCCCAACCGCGTCGCGCGACACCTCGGCTCACGCTCCCTGCATTTCCACGCGACACACCAACACCTTACTCGATTGACATCTCTCCACACGCTCATTACGAGCGGACAAATTGTCATCCTTCATGCGGACCGAGACATCTGCAATGATATATAGGCTATGATCCGACACGATGGCTGCATCGCAATTTCAGAATCGCTTCACTCAAATCTCTAACATTGCGTCATCAAGGGTCTCGCCGCATTACGTCTTCTATCTTAGATACCAAGCATCCGGCGCATCCTCACAACGTTTCTTCTCTCCACACTGAGCTTCTTCACTCAGACTTTCTACAATTCACATAGCCCAGCATGTCGTCGAAACTCGTACCTTCCGACCCCGCCAGCGTTATGGTGATTCGCGACGTTGTTCCGCGCGTAATCACCACACTGTCAGTGCCCTTCTGGAGATTCGGTCGCGTGAAGATTGGCGGAAGAGGAACGATTGGTATGCTGTGCCCAACGACCGCTTCACATGCAACTGCTAATGCGCAAGAACAGTGCGCCTCGAATCCGGTTCTCTCGCCGTCTTCTCTCCCGTCGCATTGACCGAGGATGTCAAACAGAAAGTGTCCGAGATGGGCGAAGTAAAGTACATCGCCGCCCTAGACGCAGAAGTACGTACCAAGCCCACCAGAACACCTACATCATCGCTAACACTCTACGTAACAGCACCACATCTTCCTCGGCCCCTGGCACAAAGAATACCCCAACGCGCAAGTCATGGGCCCCGACGTCCTCCCCGAAAAGCGCGCAAAGCAGAACGATGAAAAAGTCCCCTTCTCGGTCCTCTTCGGCGCCTCCAAGCCCGTCGAGTCCATCTCGCCCGAATTCGACGCAGAGTTCGATTGGGAATACGTCCCCTCGCACGTCAACAAGGAACTCGTCTTCCACCACCGCCCCACCCGCAGTCTCATAACAGCTGATCTCATGTTCAACCTGCCTGCTACCGAACAGTTCAGCAAATCGGGGGTTGATCCGAACAGCGGAATTTTGACGAAGATCTTTGTCGCGCTGCAGAGTACAAAGGGCGATGCGAAGTGGCAGCAGCGTACTATTTGGTATGGAACTAGTGCGAGCGATAGGAAGGGTTTCTCGGCTAGTATGGAGAGAATCAACAAGTGGGGGTTCAACAGGATTATTCCCTGCCACGGAGATGTCATGGAAGGTGATGGCAAGGGTATCTTTGAGAAGGTTATGAGGTGGCATTTGGATGCTGCCGCGCAGGGCAAGAAGAGTACTTGAGTGTGTTGATAGACGAAGGGGGCGTTGAGGTTGTGCATAGCGAGTCGAAGCGCGGCGTTGAGGCAGATGGGCGATGATACCAGATGATGGAGAGAGGTAGTTTCATTATTAATTGTAATACAAACATGCTATTAACTCTGTCCTTGCCAGCAAGACTGTACGGCCACAACAACAAGAGCTCTTCGCCTATCCATCGAGTTCCTAATTTATACTATCGCCTACTTCCTACCCACCCAATCCGCCATCTCAATGTCGTCAGCGAAGTTCTGCTTCCTGACGTCTCTCCCATCATACCCACCCTTCATCTTCTCCTTCTGCCCGGTCCAAATCGACGCGATACCAGCCAACGTATAAGGGTTCTTATCGAACCGCGCCGTTGGTGCCAGAGGCTGAACCACCACTGGCGGCGGCTGCTGAACCGTATCTTGGTATCCACCCACCTTGTCCCCAGGCTGCTCGAAGAGGATATCCTCACTATACCCCGGATACCCATACGGCGAAGCTTCCGGCTCGCGCTGTTCATGCGGGTGATGAAGATGCATATGTGGATGCGGTAGATGTAGCTGCGGAACATGGGGATGCATAACGTGATCCACAGCCCCCATAACCGCCTCTTTAACCCCATGGGCCTCCCCATTCTTCTCTTCTCCCTCCCTCGCCTTGTTCGGGTCCTCATATCCCCTCCCTCCCTTCTTCCTCTCCATACCCTTCTTGAACTTGCCGTACCTTGCCGCTTTAGACATGTAATACGCAATACCCAGGCCTACGCCCAGTAAACCCACAACAGGTGCACACGTCATAAGTAGCCAGGCTACATGCAGCAAGAGGTCGTTCAACCAGAGCTTCTTCCTCTCGGTCTTGTACTGCGTATCTGAGAGGTGTGTGACGAACCAAGGGATGTGGTACACGAGTGACTTTTCGAGGAGAGCAAGGGTAAGCATGGTTTGTATTGTGAGAAGGGAGAGGCATGCTACGCGCGACCAGTGGGTTACGAGGGGCTTGTTGATGGGGCGGGATTTGAAGGCTGTCCAGCGTTCTGTGTAAGATGCGAGGGCGCGCTCGTGGAGGTCTGGTGGTGGGGGTAGTTTCGGCTCTTCTTCCTCGTGGTCTGCTGGCAGGCCTTGTAGCCTTTCTTTCTCTTGGTCTGCGTTCTTTTCCTGTGGCTTTTCGTTCTTGGTGAAGTAGAGGAGGCTTATTGGGGCACGCCACAGGATGAAGAAGGGGAGTACGATGGCGAAGAGGACAAGGCTGATGAGGATCTGTATGGTGATGGTGAGGGCCTTGATCAGCCGGTCAGGCTGCATGATGGTAGGCGATCGTATTCGGGGATAGCTGCTAAAGTTTCGCACATGTTGGCGATGTTGTAAGACGTAGGAAATATCTCAGCAAGTAGCACGGTTGTGTGAAGGCTCCTTGTGACGAAGCCTGAAAGGAACTTCGTGGGAGAAAACTGGTGAAGTAGAAGGGCAGTCTTCACGGTGCTAAACCGTGTGATGTGCCCCATCAATACGTTATCCTATACTCAGGTGGTATGTATTCCAGACCCAGCCCTTCAAAGACCCTCTTCTCAGCATCTTCTGGCGTCCCGTCAACTCCATTGGACCCTTCCAGCATTATGGCTTCGCCAGTACTTCGACTTCGGATACCGCTGCTATCAAACTTCCAGCCTTTGATAGCCTTGGCATACCGCCTCAGATCACGCTGAAACGTGGTACCGCCACTCCAACCCAAGACTGCGCAACCAACCGTCCACCAAGGCGCGATAATGATGTCAACTCGGCGGTGGATAGCAGGGTTCTTCGCTCTTGGGTTCTCCGCAAGATCCTCCTCACGAGTCGGCCACGCTGGATCTTGCCACACAACGAGTGCTTTGTCAAGCGTATCAAAGCCCGCGCCAGCTCCCTTCGCAGATCGAAGAGGCAGCGCATGTTGACCGCGATTAGTGTTCTTCAAGCTCATCGTAAGAGTGTGAGTAATCCACTCGGATTCCTCCAATGACTCAACAATCCCTCGAACCAAGCCTGCTGTACTCTCGAGCTCCGGGTGCGACACGATCAAGTCCACGTCACCAGACTCTGCCTTGCCACGTCTGTATCCACCTACGATTGTGACAGTAATGCGTTCGTCGCGCAGCTTCACAGCGTGTTCGCGAACAACTGCGGCGATTTGCTCAACTTCAGGACGCGGAATCGGGTCCAAGAACTCATCGTAGTACTTGACGCCGATTTGCTGCACTCTGTCCAGGTCGTTCCAACCAAACTCGATGATATCATCCAACTCAGTCCAGTGGTTATTGTAGTAGAAGTGGCGCGCGGTCTTGGCTCCAACGCCCCAGATGTTGTAGAAAGAACGCAAGACCTTCATTGATTCGTCAGCCTCAAAGTCTTCGACCGCCTGAATCTTGCCGGTGTTCTTCCACTCTACAAAGAGAACTTCAGTTTTCTCGTCACAGCCAGGTAGTTGAGCGATCTCTCGGGGGTGGCTGAGTCTGTACGGATATGCAGCAATAGATGCGATGATAGTTGAGTAAGCACGAACACCTATATCATCGTCGATCAAGGTTCGAGCAGTTCTTATCTTCTTGAGCTGGTCGAGGAAGTCCTCATTGGGTCCGTTACCAGGTGTGAAGCGCTGACATGAGTACTTGACGCCCTTCTTCACCCATTCTGGTGCTGCAGGAATATCGCTATCCTCGCCTTCGTACTCACTTGTCGTTTGCTGCAGTAAATGCGCGGCTTGTGAAGCGTACGAATGACTGGCAGGCTTGGAAGAGGGGGCAAAAGCCTTCCCATCAAAGCGATTAGAAGCGTGGTTCCCGAATCTTTGCGGCCTGTAGGTACTTGTCTTCGTGATCGTCTTCACGTCTAATTTTGCGCGGTCTAAGATGTCTTGCGCCGGATGCGGTCGTGTTGCCAAGAGTGTCTGAGATGCCGACGCTACTTTTGTGTGCGCGCCGAAAATGTCTTTGATGGACTTTTTATTCAGTGACTTGGGTCTTTCCGAGACTCTGCCCGTATAGACCAGGTTGTCTCCCAAAGGAAGAAGGTGACCTGCAGTCACACAAGCTTCAACCCAGTCGAACTTGACAACCCAGATGATATCTTCAGTTGAAGTTTCGAAGAGTTGTGCAAGGTGTGAACCATTTTCGGATCTCGAAGGGGACGAGAGAGGAACGTGGTGCTGCTCAGTCTCAGAGCCGTTGCCAGCCTCATCTTCAGTCGTAGAGTCTCGCTCATCCGCGGGTAACCGACCTGAGGCTCTACCAACTTTCCGTCTCTTGCTCGAGTGATCCTGTGCCTTCACAGGACTAGCTGGCCGTTTAGGGGCAACAATCTCTTGAGCAACCAGCTTTCGAGCCCTCAATTCGAACTCGGCCCTTCTTTTGGTACCCACCTTCCCAATGAAGACCTTTGCCCTGGAGACATCGGTAGTCAGCGGTGCGTCGTACTGGCGCAACGTTTCCTTGAACAGCTTCACTTCCTCGTCCTTCAGATGCGCATTGAAGATTGCAATTGGCGGGAGTCTGCTCAGGTCGAGGGCCTGTACGGATATCGTGGATGTTGGTGATTGCGATCCTGGGCGTATTGTCTGGGAAGAGTGTTCATGATCGTCCATATCGGGGTATTTTATGCTGAACCGATTCCTCCAAGCAGGGGTTGTCAAGACGTGTCCAAGAGACGCGTTCTGTGCCTTCGGCTGTCTAGTTGAGATGTCCAGCTGATCATTGTTTGAAAATGCCAAGATAAGCGCGATGTTATGTGATGTCTAGGTAACTGTCCAAGTGAGTGTAGAATGTTCCCAACGTCGCGCGACGGTGATGACGTCCGCGTGATGTGGAGGCTGGGAGTGTTTGCTCTGTTTGCCTTCGATCGCTCTTGCGCGTCCGTGCACTCGATAGCGTCACGCTAGCCTTAGCGCCCGCGTTATGACGCGCAATCCATCTGCTACATTCGTTTCATCATGTCCAGCCCAACGTCTTCCAGGCTAAATCTCCGGAATCCTCCAGTTCAACCGCCCGGCGTGCCTGTATCAGACTTGACATCCGCAGACAACTTGGCATGACGATGGCATCCCAGGCATCATGCGAGTCGAAACAGCACGCCTAGCCGCAAAGCCGGCGATCGAAACACACTGATCTAGATCTAGAAGTTGGGGAAACATCAGCCGAGTAGTCAAGGCTACAGGCTGAGGGCGCTGATGCACGTCTGGCTCCCCTCAACGGATCTCTGGCTCCTTCCAACTACATCGGGCAGGTCCTTCACTCACACGGGGCCCCAGCGTCTAGAAGTTATGCAATGGTTCGATGAACCCGCACCAGCGTGTTCAATGCGGTCACAGTTGCGCCAACACCACGGGCTAAAGATTGCGCGAACATCCCCTCCCTGCTGTTGATCGTTTCTCTTGGTGCGCGGACCGCTGTTTCGGAATAATTGACAGGGAGACGTAACCTCTGACAGCCCAGTCACCTACCGGTTGGTGGATATATAGTGAGCTTGTCTGGATAAGCTGCGGGTGATGATGCACTTTGGACGAACCGGTCTTCGTTCGCTACTACCCCGGCCGTTCTTGCAGCGGATATACATCTGGATCGCCACTCATTAACGTGCTTTATCTCACCTTGTTGCACACTTACTCGTGCTTTCGACATTCTTTTCTTCATTCATTTCGCTACTTTTGACAAGAGCGCTGGTCTCTCACTGTAGCTAGACTACGCCCATTCAGCTTTGACAGCAACCCATTTCGATCTCACTGAACATCTACACCACCAACCGGAGATTCCTTCGTTTACCATACCAAAAATGCGCTCTTTCATCATCATGGCCATCGTGGCCCTGTTCGCTTTTGCGTCTGCCATGCCCATATCACCTTCGGCGCCCCGCCTCCAAAAGCGAGCTGAGCAGTATCGCCTACAAGGACTGAGAGAGGTATGTTGCGCGCGCCGTCGATCATGAGAAGGACATCGTGACTAACTGTCATAGTTTGAAATTGCCGAACTTCTCTCATCTTCCGCATCATCAGAGGTTGACCCATGGCGCACTCGACTGAACCACAAGTTCCATGCCCTCTTTGACCCAACACCAACCGACGAAGAAGAAGCCTCTTATGACGACGACCAAGAGGACTTCTCTGGAGATGTGGCACCGGGATCTGTGGAAGCGCCCCAAGTCCTCCCCAAGGCTTCAGAGGAAGACAGTCTCTTCGACCGCCTATGCGCCATCTTCCACCGCGCGGAGAGCAGCTTGGGGTACGAAGGCAAGGAGCTTGATGTGCGTCGACCTGGAGGTGTGAGAGACTGGAAGCGATCTTATGGAGGATTCCGACGATAGAGTGCAATCCAAGTTTTCATCACTTCACCCCATATGATCCTGAACGAGACGACTGGTATATTCCTAATTGAATCCGTGGTGATCCCAAAGCCTATAGCCCACCTACCCAAATGATGTTCGCGCCCGCTGAGTTAAGTAATAATCCAAAACAATGCCGCCAATCCACAAGCGCCTGACTAGTTCCCCAAAAGACGTGTCGATGATTAGACACCCATGGTGAAATCATGTTCTATACCCGGAGTTACACTGTGAGTTGTTAGATGATGCTCTCTTCTGGAGTATGGAGTGAGCTTACCTGGCCATGAACTTGAGGAAGACGACAAGATACTGGTCCACGCGAATAGCTACCTCTTCATCGCCACCCTCGCTAAGAACCTCCCAGTCGTCCTTGCCCTCATCGCCGTCCTTGTTCTTTGCTTGCTCAGTAAGCTTAAGGAGCCGTGTATCATCAACCAGCGCCTCCATGCCGCTATCGAGCTTGCTAACGTCCTTGCCAGCTTTGAGCTTGGCGAGTCGTAGCTTGAGAGCAGCATCGGCGCGATCAAGCAGCACTTTCATAACGGATGCGTGTTTGCAGGGATGTACTGAGGCAGTCTTGAGAGGGTTCTCGAAGAAGGGGAAGTCCTCGATGGTGACGGTCTTGTCCTTGTAGTCTCCGACGATGTCCTCCATCATCTCTTGTGGTTTGAGTGGAACGGATGTGGATCCGTAGCCCGAAAGGTATAATCGCGGTGTTCGGTAGTGGGCGGAGTATGTGATGTAGAGGGTGTATGTTCGGAGGGGCCTATTGGGTATCAGTCAGTCCACACAGCGCTGGCCGCCACGAGAAGATGGTCAGACTCACGCCTTTGTATTTGAGTCGGCTTTGGGGTCTCTTATGATCGCCTCCTCGTCGTCTTCGATATCCTCCATGTCGGGTATCTCGTCATCCTCCTCCGCCGCGCCTAGGTTGCCGCTCTCATCGACTGTCCGCACGTCGCGCACCTTGGCTTCCTGACTTGCTGCCATACCGCCGGTCCTGAGCCAGCCGTCATCGTCGGTCGCGCCTTCCCCAGCAGCGAATCCGTCCCTCACTATGGTCTCATCCTGGCCCGCCTCTCCCGCAAAGTTGTCGTCGAGCCGTCGGTGGCAGGGCACGCCGCGCGTTACTAGGAACTGCTTGCCTTCAGGCAGGTACGACACGCGCTTTGCCGGCGATGACGCGTCGGCCCACTGCCACGAGGGGAACTTGAAGACGAGGAAGTCGCCAGCGAGGACAAACTCCTCGGGTGTGATCTGACCCGTCTCGCGGAAAGTCGATGTGTGGCTGATGGCGGCGGTCCGCTCCCGGAAAGTGTCGATGTACGACCTGACAAAGTTGTAGGCCATGTTGATTGCTCGTGGTTGGTCTGATTTGCTTGCGGAGTTCAAGGCCGTGGTTGAGCGGGTAGCGATGTTGTGTCGTGTATCTGTAAGGTACCTGGAGGGGCGCGGGGTGAAGGCTGCCTTGCGCCGCATCGGTCCCGCGCAGCCTCCACCATCATCCCAAGCCGACGCTCCTCACCCCCACTTGTCAGCCGACAACACCCAACATTCATCACCGTCATCCGCCCCCGGCCTTCACAATACTTCATCACGCTTCGATTTCACATGATGATGGCGCACTCAGGGTCCGAGATCGTCACGCACCCGCCTTCGCCGTGATACAGTGGCGCAGAGCTCCCTAGCGCTCGAACTATACGCTGCACAACAGAGACCAGCCCTCAAGCCTCATCGAATATGACGTCAGTGATGGCATGACTACAAACCAGCATGCTACTTCCCGCCTACATGCGATAGGTTCGGAGCTCACACCGTGCCTCGATGCGGCTGCGCTTGGAGAGCCCAACTAATCCATAGTCATCCGGAGGGTGCGTGCACTTGGACTGTCGATATCCGTAGTACCGTCTGCAGGTATCCCTAAGATTGGAATCTAATTCCGCATACCAGATCGGTCTGCTATCTGCCCGGGCGAACCTCGTTTGCGTCGACCTACTGCCTTGAGCTGGGAAGACACACAGAAACACAGACAGGTGTCAGGACACCCACGCTCGTGTGCGAGCACCTGGAACTCGTAACACTCACGGCAGATATCGTTACGAATTGTGGCAATGACATAAATAGTCGACGGAGCAACAAGGCAAAACCTTGTCGCAGCACAGCAAGACACGCCCTCGATTCGGTTATGTTACCTCTTGAGCGACAACTCCATGACCAAGCGCGCTCGTGTTACCCAAACTCGACAGATTGCCTAGCTTTATGCTCGTTCCTCGACAGGGGGGCGTTAGTGTCGACAATGAAGGGCGTGCTCCATGTCTGCGCACTGTCGTACGCCGTTGCCTGAATGCAACGGAGGATCCCCCTGACATTGCCCCTAGCCTCGAATCTAGGGCTAACTTGAACGTCATATCTCTCCTAGATGGGCCCACCTAACAGATACGTACGACTATTCGTTCTGATCTGTCAATTTATCGAGCTGAAGTAAAGCGATGCCACCATGCTTCGTAGGTAAATTTTGTCCAAAAACGATCAATGCGGAATTACAAGGCAAAGAGAATGGACCACATGTTCACCCAAGCCCTCCTAACCCCGTTTGGCGCTCACCGCATTCAATTGCTTCGAACGCACCCTTTTCGACCTTCAAACATACGACAAATCCTTGTCTGCTGCCAAATGTTGCATCGGCTTTCATAGTCACTTCTCTCTTTGGTGCAACTTCAAAGAGAGTTCATATTGTCTTTGCTATGATACTAGTGCGTTACGCGCATAAACGTGGGTTTTGAGAGACTACAACATGTATGCTCACTGACATATCCATCGAGGTTAGGTTCAGTTGATCTACGGCAACCCACAGCCGGCCCACAGTCAACCCTGAACAGCCCCACATGTTCACATACGAGCTCGGGCTACAGAAAGCGTATCCTTACCGACGAGGCCATTAGATCAGCACTCAACAGCCGCTATGGCTATACTGAATTCCAGCATGTGTAACAGATCTATCCGCGACTTCCGCTTGTGGCCCCGTACCCACAGTAGCAACAGCTGGGTGCCTTTGCACGTTTGGGAGAAGTCTTTCAACCACACTCATTCCAAATGCAATGTCAAGCACGCGGGAATGTCAAAGAGTTTTGTACCATATCGCAGACTATCCATGCCTGTCGCATCGATTGCAAGCCAAGACCATAAGAAGTACTATCGGCCGGCGATCCTCGTATGTCTGTACCACTGAGTCACCAAAGTTACAGTGACCGATACACCCTCAGAAGAAATATGCTCTCAAAGGGAGGGGATGGTCACGGCGGCATGATACCCACAAATCCTCACGCCCAAAAGCGGAGCCAGTCGCGAAGCGTCAACGCTGTGCTGCCAACGAACGCACCCACAGCATATCTCAGGAGACAATGATGTACGGCGTCTTTACCAAAGCTTCAGTGCTAACCACAAAATTATCAACACTTGTGGCATGAAGAAATAGCGCCTGGTCGATGTGAGCCACTTGGTGCATCTATTGAGACTGTATCGTTGGTCTAGTGTCGTGTCGCCTCAAGCGTCTCCCTCTGTCTATAAAGGCCCCATGCTCGACAGCGAGCTGAGTTTGCTTCATCTGATGACAACGAAATTACAATTATTCCTGATCCAATTCACGAGCAGCATATTCATTCATTATTCGACCTGACCGACGCCGTTCCGAAATTTCGAACATACATACCGCTTCTCACAAGCTATCATTATTACAATGACGGATCCTAGTACAGTAAACGATCCTTCGCAGCCGCGATGTGGAGGTTGACGCCGACGAAGTACAACGCTCAGATCCAAGTATGCATCAGGACGATATCGATATTATGAAAGTCGATCTCGCTGACACAATGTTGCGAAACACAGGCTTGGGAATCTTCGATGATTTGATCCACGCGCTACACGGACATATGGGTAGCGATATCTTCAGCACTTGACGAATCTATCATGCCATTCGCCATCCGCTCAACAGAAGGAGCACCAAACACTATGGTAACATCCTCGCCAACACCCGGCCAGTAAATGCGGTGCTCATTTTCCATTCTCCAGCTTTGCGTTGAATGGTGGCACATGGTTGATTTCCAAGGCTCCGGTATCTTCTTCTGCACAAAAGCAAGCTGCATGTACAGTCGCTCCAAGATTTGCATACATTGTACTCTATCCAGCCGCGTCTTTACCATGAAGTTACTCAGAGGAATGAGCAATATAACACCTTTCAACCTGTGTGTATTCTAAGTCAAGGAACATGCAAAGTGGTACCTTCCCTTGCTGCGGTTGGAGACCTGTCGTGTCGCCAGGCTCCTAGCATTCCCGCTCCGCGCAACGCTCACCAGTAACACGAACACGGGCAGATGGGCATTCTGCCACAATACCATGAAGCACATGATTGCGCTTTGCACTTCGGTGGGGAGTGCCGAAAACAACGATTGGCTCTCGCATTCTCTGGTCGAGAAATGAGCACTAGATGATTCCCGCACCTCTCCAATCATCTTGTTACTCCCGCGCGTACAGCATCCGCTTCTTGTTTGGCGACGTTACTATGCGACATGCGGAAATTCGTATCGGAGCCGACTTCGGCAGGCAACGAGGATGCTGTGAGCTGCAAATTCGCAATCGAGGAAAACGTCCTGACACTCGCCTTTCTCCGTGTCGAGATAATTCGAGAATAGGTCAGTCACCGCGACGACAACAACGATGAAACTCCAATCATAGCCACATCTTGCGGTTCCTGTCGTTCAAGGGCAGCATCACTAGCCCCGACACGCGGGTATAAAATTACGATACTAATCCAAAGCAATGGAAATAGCAGAGGCCCTGTACCACACTAACTAGAAGAGTAGGAATGTGGCTAGCGGCTGAGACCGTGATACGCTTACGATTGTTGCAATTGTGTGGCATATGTGCAACTGCAGTCCGTTGCAGTGGCGTTTGAAGGCCGCAGGCGGTGGCAGTTCAAGCGAGTTTCAGACCTTTCATCTGTCAAGAATGGATTGAGCTTCTCACACATCTTACGACGCACTCTTCGAAGCAACATTAGTCTCAAGCATTTTCGTCTTTCACACGGAACTGGAGAATTGCTATCGTTGTCACGTTCATTAACCATCTAGGCTCCTCTCCAATCATTGCTCGAACCATGTCCCAACATGCACTCGAAAGCGAGATGAGTGGAACCTGTCAACCCATCCAACATCTTAAACCTTGACATCGAGACTGAAGTTCGAAGCCGACCACCTCGCCGGCCCACCCGTGAAAGCCTCCGTGCCGATCTGATAGACTACTCACATATCAGCATCAAGTACGCTCCATTCGCATCGGAAAACCTACCAATCAGGTTCTGCGTGCTCGCAGGAAATTGCTGAGTCTGCTCCAGATAGTTGAAGAACAACTTGATATCCGCGCTGAAGCTCTTGATATCACTATTACCCGCCCGCACAAAACTGTACACGCGCATCGATCCGTTGTAGCCGGTGTAGAGATCGAAGGTGTATCCAGCGATGGTCACGGTAGCCACTGGGGCTCCAGCTTGCGAGATGGGCCATACGCCTCCCAGCCGACCGAGCCTTCTCCACGTTAGTCTCGCTTTATGGAATCGTTATCGCATGTGCTAAGAACGTACCAGACCATGAGCTCATAATCTCCACTACTATTAACATGGTTTGGATCCGCAGCGGTAAAGACATCGTACGCCACATTCGCCCTCACATTGCTAGTTTGATTGTAAGACCACTCCACCTGCGTTGGCATACTAGTAATCTGCGATATCTTCTGCCCTTTCGTCAAGATCTTACCCGCATAGGCATAGCTCTTTACTTGGTCCTGGCCGCCGTTCCACACCCAATCGGTACTCCATTTGATTCCGTTTCCGGTGCTGCCCTCATAGTAGGTGCATTGGGAGCCGGAAGTGGCTTGGTCTTTGCCCCAGAGGTTGTTGAGGATTTCGTAGCCGTTGGCGGAGTGGTAGGCGTATTGAGTGCAGAGGCTGATGGTTTCTTGGACGGAGGTTGCGTCGCGGTTGTTGATGGTGGGTGTGCCGACTGGAGTGGCTGAAGCGCCGGTCAATAGACCGGCGGATAGAGCGATGAGGAGTCTCATGGTGATCTGACAGGATCTGTACAGTAAGATGTAACAGGATATCTGAGATCAGTAATCACAGCATACACAGTCTCATGGTTGATTTATACTAGATCTACACGTAGCCCAAGCCCAAGAAACAGAGCCTCGGATGCACTTCAGCCGCTCCATATGAGATCGTGTAATTGTCCGATCAGTTGACAAGCGCGATGATCAACGAGGCGTCATGGCACAGAAACTAATCCATATCGGAGTAGCCTCACTACCGGTCCGTCAGCCTCCAGACGAGGTACAAACGAATTATTGACATGGATGTATAAGTCACGGTCGAGGTAGTAGGGCCGGTTCACTTTGTGTGGTGTATTTAACCTTATGAAGCTTCATATATGCTAGTGTGACCGGATGTCAAACTCGGCACATGCGGGGGACCTAGGTAGAGCTCGGTATGTTCCGAAGACCAGATCGATCGACATCAAAGAACGACATTCACTATGCTAGAATCAGGGAACGTTGGATTGTGTAGTATCTTGCTTTCCACACGTCTAGCAGTCCATCTATTCACAGAGCGCAACACGGACCACTCGCAGTAAGAGTACTCCATGGAATGCAATGCCTGCCAAAGTGTTCCCCATGCATTCTTCCCATCCATAGCCCTATAACAAGTCCCACAAATGCAAAGCAGCGACCAACAAACTCAATATATGCCTTGTGTGCGGTACTGGAAAGTATCGTAACTGTGAAACGTCGTCAGTACATGGAGGCTTCAGTCGTAGGGCAAGACTCAAACTTACAGTCGGGTATAATAACTTCCCACACTCTTCGCAACGAGTTCCTCAACAAACCCTTCCGCCTCCTCCCTACTCAAATGCAACATCAAACGAGCCCTCAGACTATTCGTCACGCTCGCCGCACCAGCAGCAAAACATGGCATACTGCTCTGCTTGCTCATCAGATCCACCAGCATGATAAGTCTCTCCGCATCTTTTCTCAACGCTTGGAACGCCTTCTTGCACAGCGTTTTGAACTCGTCGAACGCCGGGGATGTTACACCGCCTAGGACATCGACGTAGTCTTGCGTTAGTTTGAAGGGCGCGGCTTCGAAGCCCATGGAGCCGGGGCTGTTGGAGAGCATGAAGCCAAAGTCGATGTGGATTATGTGGCCCATGTTGTCGATGAGGAGGTTGCCGTTATGACGATCTTTCAGCTGCAGAACGTAGCATATCATGCTATAGGCGGCTAGGGAGCGCGCGAAGCAACCTACACCAGCAATGTAGGCTTCCGAGTCTGGCTCGCCAAACGTCTTGAGCCAGTGGTCTTTTAGCGTTGCGATGCGTTTCCGGGGGTTCGTGCCTGCTGCTATACTGGCAAGCGTCAAGCTTCGTTTCAAAGAGTGAAGGGAGACACCGTTGGTGATGGTCTCGATGAGTCCACAGGATTCGCCGGTGACCAGGATGCGCATCCGTTTTGTCCAGACCGGCACATTTGCTTCTTCCCATATCTTGGTACACACTTCGATGAGCTGGCACGCAAATGCTTCTTGACGCAAGTCGGCTCCGGTCTTGACAATGACACTGATCAGATCCCAATTCTTCATATTTCCATATGGAGAGGATCGCCGTATTCGTTCTCGCTTGGCGCTCCATTCTTCACCAAATGTCGCGGCGCTGGGATCATCACGATCACCCTTCCGCTTCATACCGCCAGTCTTGAGATCGTTCTCCATGCGAGCTGCACCCGCACTGGTGTTGGTAGCAACGGGCAGACCATCTTCGAGCTCTTCTGGCTCGCCACTGATTGCAGCTGGATCCGACTCAGCCATGATAGTGTCAAACGTAGGGCCCTGGTCCTCGTTCAAGAAGTTTTGCTCTTCCAAGCTTTGCATACTTGCGATGATCTTGGCCTTGATCGCAGCTACTTCGCCCTTTGGCCGTTTCGCACCACTTGCCTCGAGCTGTGCAAGCATCTGGGCAGCGGTGCGCATGTGAGTCGCAAGGGCGGAGAAGTCTGGTTGATCAGCTGATTGATTCCGCTGGTTCAAATTCGCAGGAATGGTCATTCGCCTGATTGGACCGGGACTGTTTGACCTGCTGATCTGCGAGTCAGAAGTTCGTGGTGTAGACAAGGTGGCCACGGAGGACAGTGTGTTTGCTCCACTAGACGATCTGGGGGCTGTCGCTTTCCCATTAGCACTTGCAGCAGGTAGTGTCACGCGTGCCATGCCGGAAGCAAGGTCGGTATCATCCATGTCCTTGATGAGCGAGGTACTGCCCAGGTCTCCAGTGGCAGGTTCGAACACGCTGTCTGATCCATTAGGCGGCGTGCGGTCGAAGGCGGAATACTCAGCATGAGTGATGTCGAATAATCGTCTCCTGGAGGTGCCCTTCTCTAGCATCAGTTTCTCCAGCAGCTGCTGATTCTGTTCAGTGTCCGGATCAAAGTCAAAGTCCTCCTCCAAGACCTCAACCATGAGCAGATACGGTACTCGCTCTGCACTGTTTAGACTGGTCGCTTCCGCGGGGTTGATGCGCACGATGCGATGATGCTGGCTCTGCGACGGAATCCCATCCTTGAGAGTCGGAGGCGATAATAGGGGTATATCAACTTCAGCGGGCAAGTCCTGGGCGATCAACGCTAGTTCAGCTCTCAGAGCACTCAGCCGCGCGGGCTTCGGCACAACGACCAGGCGGTTTGAAATGTCCTCGAGCGCGCTGAGAAACTGGGTTTCGTTCCGGAAGTAGTTGGATCGCAGGAGCCGTATCTTCTGCGCGCGGGATAAGGCGGTGGGTGAAAGGGGCCTCGGTGGCAGCCCGGGGTGCTTACGGGAACCATGTTGGAGTGGGCCTGGACCGAGGCCAGCAGTTGCGGGGGGCGTGGGCAGGGGCGACGACGTTTGGTCTCGGAAGTCGGGTAATGACGACGAGCTGAGCCGGGCCTCTGAGGCTATCGACAGCAACGAAGGACGGTGCTGCATCGAGGGGGTCCGTGAAGTAGCCGGCGGTCGTACAGCTGCCTTCCGCAGGTCCTTGGGTTCACGAGGCCGCGAAGACGAAGCCTTGACGGATCGCCCATCTTCAGGGTCGGAGTGCTGCTGCGCTACCCTCTTCTCCTTGGACCGCGAGGAACTTCCCGTGACGGTCTTGCTCCTCCCGACCTTGGCCGTCTGCACATTGTCCGAGATGATGTCCTCGACGGGCCGCGGCTTCCGCGCCTGCGCAATGGCCAGTGGTCCCGCGTGGACTGGGAGAAAGGGCGCCGCTATGCTCGCCAGGACCAGACTCGAGAGCACCGTGACGGGCAGGACGTTCTCCTTGATCTTCTCGCGGCGCTGAGGCTCGGCAGACCCGAAGACGATGCGCTGGACGCGGTTGTATATCCTCCGACATGTCTTGAAGGCAATTGAGTTGGGCGCGCTGGCGAGGTCGTGCAGGTAGGTCTGGAACAGCCAGAAGGTCTAGAGGGGGGGTTAGCAGGCGCAGCGGCTAACAAGACACGGTATCCGGAAGCCCACCAGAAGCGCGCCGTTGACCGACTCCTCGCACAGGTCGATTATGAATTCCTCCAGGGCCATGGACTCGTTGTCGATGCTGATGAGCAGGTGGCATAGCCTGTGCCCCGCGTGTGTAAGCTAGCTGTCCATGTCTCGTCGTGGTGGGCAGGCGGCGACGTACTGCGGGAGGAAGAACTCGAGCTCCTCGTAGGCGAACTGGCGCAGCTTCGAACAGAGCACATAGTGGATTCCGACGTGGTCTGCATACCGGCTGCGGTCATGGCGATGGTCAGCACGGGTGTCGGTGAAGGGCGCTGCGTGCGGCGGTGCTGCGGGCAACGGTGGCTTCGGGGAACATGGGATGGGGACGGGGACTCACGCAAGGTATGCTACTGCGAGGCTCGGATCTTGGTTGAAGTGCTCAGATTCTATAAAGCGCTCTAGCAGATTCCAACTCATCTGGGACGGCTCATTGGGGCTCAGGACGGGTGGAGGGCGACGGCATGCGGTGAAATGCTCAAAAGGGTCGCATACGGAAAGATGGGGCGCGACAGGGTTCAGCGGGCGGAGCTGCTCATCTCCGCCGCGTGCGTGATAGATAGCTTAGCAATGCGACATCCACTGTATTACTCCACTATCCACTACTGCTTTCACTCATTCCTGCCAACAGCCTCAAAATACATCCCGCCTTCGTGATAAGGAATAATCCTGCAGCAATAAACAGATACCCGCAGCCAACGCCGTGCATTTGACTTTTTGAATAAGCCCAACCCTCGCGCGCAGTGAACAACATATCGTACACCGGGGAAATATATACAACACACGCGCAATCTAGTCCGCAGCGTGCAGGTCGACAAAGATGTTGATGGCAGCCACCAAAACTTCAGCAAAAATGAGAATGATAACGATCCATTCAAGCAATTCGCCCTGTGTTGGTCAGCGGATGTACGGCAAAAAAGCATAATTCAGATACTCACGTGAGTGACGGTTAGCTGATCCTTCAAGACAGCAAGCAAGTCTCCGATAACATTTAGTCGCTCAGTTAAGAGACTGACTCTCTGGTCCATCTCCAGATAGCTTCTCACAGCTTGATATACCGGGTCTAGCTGCGGCTCTGCCCACATGAGCTCGGGCGCATCAAGAACCGATCCTTGCAGATGGATACTAATCCGGAGAATGAACAATTCTCCAATCTGCATGTTGATCTGCTTCTTGTTCAGGTTGATCTTGCCAGAGCTGGCGATTTCAGCCGGAATGTCCTTCGTCTCGTCGATAGTGTTGTCGACCAGGTCCTCGAACAGCGACGTCTTGACACTCTGGGAAAGACCGTGACTAATCGCCAGCTTGATCATGTAGTTCTTCTTGTCGCGCAGACTGATGAAGTCGTTGTATATCCGGGCTTGGTACTCGCGCGTGTAGTAGAAGTTGAACTCTTCCGTCTCAATCTCATCTTTGCCGAGCTTGTCCACTTCAAACTTGGCGATCTCCTTCAGGAACTTCTTCTCCTCTTGCAGTGTCATGCCCCAGATTACAACAGTGCCGTACTCGAACAGGAATACCTCAGGCGTATGGACGCGTGTATCGAAGTCGGGCGCGTCCATTTGGGGGTCAGAGTCGGCGTGGGTGATCGACGGCCGTCTGGGGCCGATGGCTTGTTCGTTGGCGATATCCGGCGCGTCACCATCGTCGTGCAAGTCGATGAGATCCTGTCTTCTCCTCTCGTTCTCGTGTTCCACCTCAATGGCACTGTCTGAGAACCGTCTCGGTCTCTCTTCCGTGAAGCCGTCGAGTACGGCAGTGCTACTGACGTCTTCTGGGCCTTTCGTCGATCCGTAGTTGTAGGGCGAGTATATGCATTCGTCGAAGCGCTTGGGCGCCGCTCCTCTGATCTTCTGCTTTCCTTTCAAGAATCGCATCATTTCATCGAGCTTGTACGAGGCCGCGGTACAGTATGCCGTCACCCTGGGCAACCGCTCTCTGTCTGCCTTGCCGAGACGGGCAGCATCTCTTCGCGCAGTGGGGTCCTTGATCCTGGTGTATTGTACATAGACATCGCGTCCACTCTCTTCGTCTTCGGCTTCATCCGCGGCCGGGTCAGGAAGCAGCTTGAGCTTCTGCGCAGTTCTCGTCGTTCGCTGCGGTCCAATCTTGGGCACCGGCGCGGGAGGTATCCTGGCAGGAGCACCAGAGCTGTTCCTTCTCCGCAGCTTACTATTCAGCGTCGACAGCATTGGCTGCCCGCCCTGGGTGGTGGCAGCATGGCCGGAAGATGAGGCACTGTGCGATATCGATCGCGACGCTGGTGGTTTAGGACTGGTAGATGTGACGGTTGGGTTGAAGGTGACGGTGCGCTGTGGCTTCGGGGGTATCGCTCGGCTTGAGCTCGACATGGACGAGACCAAGGGAGTCGTTTCGGTGGAGCTAGACGCCATGGCGGCTGTTCGGCCAATTCAACGATGGTGCGAATCAACAGCGAAGGTGAAAGTGTCGCTAGAAAGAGAGAATGTCACAGTCGCAGATGCCGCGGAGTTCAGTCGGCGCCATAGACGGGCGTTAGTGGATGCGGTGGGTGACAGGCGCGTAAGCTGTTTGTGTCGACGAGACTTCGAGCCATGACGTTGTAAGGATCTATGCTTGGACTAACGGTCTCAGCACGGGCCTCCCACGTGCAAGAGAACGCCTGCATGGCGGCCGTTAAAAACCAACATCCAGGAACCTGGCCGCTGTGCGACTGTCAAGGTTGTTTTTAACGCCTTCGCGCTTGTGCGAGTTTGTACAAAGTTGGCATCCATGGATGCGTTCGCTTCCAAAGGATCTGCATACGGGCACTAATGCATGAAATCGGGTATGACTTTACGCAATGTGCGTAGTCCAGTATTGAGAAATGTATTAAGTAGAGTACAGCTACAACTCGATGATCTCGGCCTCGAGCGAAGGCTTAACAATTTGAGCAGGCTGCTCCTGGTTGACAATGCCAACTTCTCCCAACATAAAACGCCCAAAGTACAACAACGCGTCCAACATCTCCTCTCCGGTGGGTATAATGTTCTCCTTGGGCAGCAGGAATCCGTAGCTGCCCGTGTCTCGCAATTTGATCTGGTAAGAGTACCGGACTTTCAATTCGTGGTAGAAAAAGTCTAATGCACTGCCGCCGCTCGATTCTATACGCGGGAAAATGGACTTTTTCTGGCCAGCAATGGCTACGTTGCCCTCGCAAGCTGACGTGACCTTGTATGTTTGGCCTTTGCGGGAGACGCGAATAGCTTTGGCTAGACCCATGGCAAGCTCTTCGAGATCCTCGATTGATGGAGGCTCCTCGTCGCATGAGTAGCTGTATGGGTACAAAATCTGTTGCGAGTATGAGTGCAGATCTAAGAAGCCAATAATGTCGACGTTGTTTTCAGTCTCGTTCTTGGCCCATTCGGCAAAGCGCGCTGATTCCGCGCCGTCAAAGGGGGTGTTGCCGGGGAAAGATTCACTGCAGGGGTTCGACTGGGAAGCATCGCCGTCCCACTTATACGAGTAGCTGCGGTCGAGGTCGATGCCGCGGCAGAAACGTAAACTGGTGGGTTGGCGGTTCTTGCGCCACAGACGGTCGGTCTCCCAGCTGTAGACGTATCCGTCTGGGTTCAGGGTCGGGATGAAGACGAAATCGAACTCCTCCATCAGACGCGTCATCTCACGGTCCTTGCCGTATGCGTTGATGAAGCTCCAGGCCAGGTAGTTGACGGTACTTGTGGATATCCACTCACGGGCGTGAATGCCGCCGGTGACAAGGATGGTTTTCCGGGGCTTGGACGGCTCTTCGTTGTTCGTGGGGTGCACGCCAACACGCAGAGCGGGAATGTCACGGCCTTCGTAGCTTATCCCGATGTTTATGCGGCGGACGTGGGTGGTGAACATGGAGGCCATGAGGCTCATCCAGGGGTTGATGACGGAGAGGGGTTGGTAGTCTTGGAAGAAGATGTTGCCCTTGCCTGAGCGCGGGGACGGTCGGAGATTCGAAGAGAAGCGATCGTCGTCGGGAACGGGTGTAGTCTCGGTGGACGGGTAGGTGTTGAAGATTGCCTGTGCGAGGCCGAGGTCTTGGAGGAGCGGTTCGTGGGCGTCCTTGAGCGACGGAGGCAGCAGTCCGAGCAAGGAAGGCACGACGTCCTTGGATACGCGCAGGTCTGCCCAGTCTTCAATGAACTCCCAGACATCAAGAAAGAGGACGTCTGCTGCATCCGACAGCGCCGAGGCCTCCTCAGCCGTGCGTATCTTGAACCGCAAGACGACATCTTCACTGTACTGCGCGACCAGCTTGTCCCCCAGCGCATCGACAACAGTCTGCGTGTTCTCCCCGTTCAGGCTCTTCTGGTCCTCTGGCAGCTTCCATATCCGGCGGATTATCGCGTCGGAGAGCCTGCGCCATGGTCGCGGCGACGCATTGTGGGTCGTAGCAAATGTTCCTGCATCGTACGGGGACGGCGCTGCATCGTGCGGGGCGGCGGCTGCGAGCGAGGGCGCGAGGAGCAGCAGGCTCAGCAGCGCGCAAACGGGCTGGCGCATTCTGGCAGTGGAAAGCCAAACGGGCGGTGGGCCGAGTGTGCGATGGGCGGTCGTGGCCAGCAAGCGCCGGGAAGGGGTGGAGAAGGTGTCGTGTGCCTGGCGATGCTTGGAAGAAACGTGGGCGTGGTGTGGCTGGTGGAGCTGGAGAGGCGCGCGGCCAGGCCAAGGTTTACGCCAACGAGCGCTAGGAGGCCTCCACTGCACAGCAAAGAGGACCAGTGCGCTCGTCAGTGCCTTGGTGACAGCTGATCTGCTACCCTAAGGCCTGCGACCTGCTATCCTCCCCCTATACGTCCCGAGACACTGTGACGTCGCCTGCCTGCTCTATCCCAACTACGTGTCTGACGCCGTGCCGGGCCCGCGCCATCGATATCTGATCTCACCTCCCCGACTAATCCTAGCAGCACTCCCTCAGCCTTACAGGCGTGCCGCATCCGAGCCATCCTAAGAGTCCCAGACACGCCCTTCGCTGCCCCTCTCCGCTGTGCCATGTACCGCACCGTGACCCCGTATCTGCCTTCATGAGCTGCTAGTCGGCGCGAGCAGCCATGCCTCTGCGCTCCCTCCGCCCCGGCCGCAGCGAACGAGACCTCAAGCGACGGAGCACCCTCGACCCTGCCGGCTTCTTCCACCGCCGCGCCGACAAGGACACGCGCTTCGACAGGTCGCAGGAGAACCTCGACGCCAGTCGCATTGCCGCCTCTGAGGATGGCTTCCGCCCCACGTCCACCGACACGGCGCGGCCCTCGACCGGCCATGATGATGATGACGACTCCCCGCCTTCTCCGCCCGTACAGGAACACACGCCCAACACCAAGCGCTTCAGTCTGATGCGCTTCCGCCATGCCTCGGACCCCCAGCTCTCCGCCAAGGCAAAGGAACACGCCGCAAGGGACGACGATGCACCGCCGGTCCCTCGCGTGCCGGGCACTCCTGCGCGTACGTATGCGTGTTGAATGTTGTATGGGTCTGTCGTACTGACGTGAAGCCATATAGCGCCCGCCATCATCACCACTGCACCAACGGTAGCAGACCACGACGACGAGGCCAAGATCGCGCCCAGGCGGAGCAGGATGCAGCAATTCGCCCTGCGCAGGCGCTCCTTCGACCCGACGACGTTCGAAAAGCCGACGACGCTGCGAAAGTCGATGGACAAGAAGCGCAAGCCGCTAGGCTTCAAGAAGAGCACTGGGGACCTCTTGGACGAGAAGGAGCGTGCTTCGACGAGCAGCCATCGCCGGCCGGACGTGCTTGCCGATTCGCGCGAGTCTGTGGAAAGCGCGAGCTCGCTGGCGCCGCCTGCCACCAGGGCCTCCGAGTCGTCACGATCAGATGGAAGCTCCGGCGGACACATTTCTTTCGAAACTACCTCGCGGCCCTCGCATCCGGCCCGCGTTGGCTCTTCACGATTTGGCTTTGGGCGTCGAAAACAACGCGCATCCTTATTCCCACTCCCTATGAAGATCGAGCCTCCGCAATTCCCCGACACGGCGCCTGCTACACCACGTGCGTCTACGGGCGCGAGGAGTTCTGCCTCGACCGATCACTCAATCACCGAGAGTCCACCCCTGACCGCGCGTCGTCTCAACTATGGAGAACCTGGGACACAGACGCCACCAGTCCCTTCTGCATCGCAAGTTGCTTTTGCTGCTGGTGCTCTGAATTTGGCCTCACCCGGTTCAGGTACTCTCTTTCGCAACGACTCGTACCGGTCAAGCCGATCCGCTCGCTCCTCGCCAAACAACAATGGTCCTGCACGGATGGGTCTTAGGGGGCGCTCATCCACTATGGGATCTTTGGGCGGGCGATCCGACGGCGCAGGCTCGCCAACACCACCTGGCGGGCCCAGCGGAAGGACTTCGACCTCCACGGCAGGAAGGAGTAGCTTCAGCAATCTGTTTGGCTTGAGTTCAAGATTTCGTCAGAACTCCGAGCCCCATTCACCCCGGCATGGTTCACCTGCTCACGGGTTTCTAGGAAGCTCAGGCTTGTCATCGCACCAGAACTCGATGAACATCAGTAGGGAAACACTCATTCTACCAGAGCGTGAAGAAGGCGAGACACCTGGACGATACCTGGAACGAATCGAGGCGAATAACTTCGATAAGAGCGTCGTTGCCAGCTATCTCAGCAAGACCGACGACCCCTTCCTGCTCGCCGTACTTAGAAGTTACATGCGGAAGTTTGCATTCTTTGGCGACCCAATCGACATGGCCATCCGCAAGTTGCTCATGCAGGTTGAACTGCCCAAAGAGACACAACAAATTGACCGTGTCCTTCAGGGCTTCGCCGACCGGTATCACGAATGCAACCCAGGTATTTACATCAACACTGACAAAGCCTACTTTATATCTTTCTCCATTATCATTCTTCACACGGACGTCTTCAACAAGAACAACAAACGGAAAATGCAAAGACCCGACTACATCAAGAACTCGTCCTGCGATGGCGTCTCGGCTGACGTCCTCGGCTGTTTCTACGACAACATTGTCTACACTCCATTCATTCACATTGAAGACGAGGTTGATCTGAAGAACATCACCTCGAAGAAAAGCAAGAGAGTCGCGGTCTTGAAAGGACCGATGAACGATCCGGCGCGAAAAGCTGCGAAGGAGCCCATCGATCCGTACACTCTGATCTTCGAAGGCAAGCTGGACGCACTCCGACCCACGATACGAGACGTTATGCAACTGGACGACCCGTACAACTACACTGGCACGACCGCGACGCTGGACACCAAGAATATCTACAAGCTGTTCTCCAAATACGGCGTGATACAGATTGTATCCTCGCGATCGAGACCGGAAGCCTTCATGTCCGAAGCCGCCCAAGAGAACCCCTTCGGCACCTCGGTCGGCATCGTTGAAATGCCAGTGACAAA